GAAGGTATTTTCAGTATTTCATGATATGCTTGTGCTTATAACCCCATGAGGATGTGTTTTCCTATTTATTATAGTTAACCCTAACCTAACAGATCTTAAAAAGAATATTCAGTTTTCAGACCATCACACCCAACTGCAAAAGTATGATGATTTACATTTTTGAGATGTTTTAAATGGCCTAAAGAATAATAAAACATTGAAATCATCTCTGATAATATATTAATCACAATTCAGGGGTATATTATATACAAATGTCTAAATATCGTATATTTTACTTTTCCCTTTAAAATGCCCCTTTTTTCTCCAGAAAGAACCCTTTTTTGTTGGTGGTCCCCTTCCACTTTGAAAGGGGCTCCACCGTCAACTCTGTCATATCTTGTGAACCCCCCTCCTATATGATTTGCCCTTCACTAACAAAAACTTCAAACATTTAAATTTTCCAACAATTAAATGTTCAATCATACGTTCAGATGTAATCATTGAAAATGTTTTTATACAACCCCTGTATGTAACTACCATACTCTACTTCGTCATCAATCACTAAGGAAACAAAAGTTAATGAAATTTTCTGTATAGAGCAAATCAGAGAGGAGCAAAATACACCAGAGTCGCAACTGTAATCGGATTTTGCTCAAAATACTGATCAGTTTCTCTCATTTTTCTGCTTCTATTAAATCTAATGTAAAATCAGGGTGGAGTTCCTCTTTAAAAAAGATAATCATGTTTCTGAGGTTAGAGACAATAAGTATATTACCAACGGTAGGTTCCCCGGCTACCTTAAAAATCAACTCTAGAACTTGAAAGAAAATAATAAAGACACAACTTTTGGAAAGACATTAAAACACTAGTTTATTTATAGATGAAGCACAAGCAAACCATGTAACAAGTACATGTTTATCCACAAAAGAAACTACCTGGTGCCTCGAAGCATTACAACAGCACATTCTCAATCAACTGGCCGAACATCACACTTGACTAAGTACATGATATTGCTTTACCGTACAAGTTCATCCTCGCAATTTTATTTCTCATTAAGTTACTACTGCATATTTGACATTTTAAAATACCTTGAGTACAGTTGATAAAATTTCACAATTGCAAGTCTTAGAGGCATATTAAAACAAATGAATAGCACAATGATGATAAAAATTCGCCATGACGAGGTTATTTTTAGCAAAGGGATAAACTGCTCATAAATAAAAATTACCCTGAAAGAAGCGTTAAAATCGACATATGAGCAGCTTTTCTTACACAGAGGTAATGGAGGTTTTAATTAACTTTTTAATAACTGGCAGTGCAATTTATTGCATCTGTGCATACGTTTTTTGCTATCGAGCAATTCATCTTGGTTACTAGCATGCCAAGTTTACATATTGCATTATTTTTCTTTCTACATACAAAACATTTCAAATACATAACTCACTGATTGAATTGTGCAGATTGAAAATTAATTTCAAAAGAGCATTACTGTTTTTTAATCTTATATATATATATATATATATATATATATATCAACAAATTTATCTCATTGGCCAAAATACAGTTTTTCATCATGCAAATAATATTAAATTTAAAATTTCATTGAAAACAACGATGTTACTTATCTCCAGGTCTTCAAGCCAAGAAGCCTAGACAAAAATAATTGTCTCAATTTTTAAAGCCTAAAAAAAATGATCTTGTTAGCTTGAAAATACACCACTATTTTTAATATCAAGAAGTCATCTCATTTTACATTGTAAAATGCCATACTATCCAAACAAATGGGAGATAACCAGACCAATTGAACATTTTTGTTGTTGGAAATTAACAGCACACAGATATTCTGAAGTTACCATGCATAGAATGATACAAGATTATATTGGCTTTGTACACACACACAGTTCTCAAACTTTGGTGCTCACAACCTACAGATTATGGATACTGTAGCCATTTACATATAGAACATAGGCAATAACCTGGCATATTTTATATAAAAAAAAAATTACTTCAGAGCAATACAGATTGATCTTTTAAAAGCAAAACGTGTAAAAAGAGAGAACATTTATACTAATTTTGTTGTTTTCTTCTCAGCTCACTCCAAGTATGAATTGCATTGCATAGGACCAGTTAATAATAAAAAGGTCGTTAACATGATAACATACCCGCTTTCCATGTCTAAGCTGTACCTCTCACTTTTGAATAGTTAGGAAACCTTATGCATCGATAAACAGCCATTCTGACCATAGGTAGAATGGAATAACTGCAATGTAACAAGTAAAACAACAAGCTAATGCACAATGTTTTTTTGTGCAAAAATGGAGTTGTGATGTTAAAATGTTTTTGGTCCTTCTATACATTGAGGTATTACCACTTATGCTGGAAACACGTAATTTACCTGTCTGGTAGTGTTATAAGACTATGAGATACAAGCAAAAAATACAATGAAACTGGGGCGGGAAGCTCCAAAATGAATTGCCCCTCAGCAAATAAATTCAAAACACACCTGCCTTATTGTTCCAAGGCATGCCAAAGGGGCAAGAAAAACTGTGGTCTGTTTGGGAAAATTAAGCAAGTATCACAATCTTTACTCTTTTTCTTTGGCAAATATTACGGAAATGACTTCGATCCAAATCGCTTACCTGTAGTTTAAGCAAGTCTTAAAATGGTACAGTCACATGCTTTTTTTTGTCTTTCTTTTTCTTGTGAGCGAACACTACCTGTATTTGTGAAGATGTATGCACGAATTAAAACAAGTACAAAATTGACTAGTGCCTGATTCCCTATATTTTGCACAAGTTCAAAGCACAGAAATAAATAGATGTTCTAAAGGCACGGCTGCATGTACCGATAACAGATATATCATCTGTGGCTCTCTAAATAAAATGGTATGAGTCAATCAATACCTTCCTGGCCCTCAAACATGATATGGATTATTTGACTTCGCTGTATATATAAACACACTGACTGATGACATAGCTTTATTTACAAACATAGTACAATCACAAATGGATGCCCATGCATGCAAAGGCAGGCAAAGACAATAAAAATACAAACTGTATATATACAAAAGGTACTAAAAGTTGGAGAAAAAAAGAGCTTAAAATCTCTGAATTTTGGTATCAAGTATCTGCAATTAGAATGAAAATAAGATAACATGTGAATGAAATTCCTAGAATATAATAAAAAATTTTAAACTTTTACAATCATAACAAGACACTCATGAATATGGAAGAAAAACAGAAGAGTTACCTTTGGTAAATTTGGGCTACATGAAAAGTTTGAAAGTATTTAAACAAAAAATTAAAAAATAACCTACTAGTTAAAGGGGGTGTAGCATGACCAATACTGGTTAACGCCATCTACAACTTCTTTTGGACGACTGTACGTAATTGAATGAACTTGGTTAACGGTCAGCGCGCTCTAGCGTTCGCGAAACACACCAAAGTTCTCCTCACGCTTCGGTTTTGCATATGTTGCACGTACGTGAATACTGCGTTTGAGTCGTCCGTAGTCGTATTATACCCGATTGGCCCCGAGTCAGGCCACGGGTAAGACACATAGTCTTGTCATGCAACGCCCTCTTTAATATAAATAACATAATTGAGGAAATTATTATAATGAACCACTTATTTTTTATGAAAGAGAATAATTATTATTATAATCATTTGACACAATGCTTCATTTTTTGTAATTTTCACAATATGCCAAACAGAGTAGAATGTTATATTACTATCTTATTTACAACTTTTACAAGTAAACTTGTAATATCACAATGCTAAACTACCAGCCTAGCTCAATATTAAGTACAATCAGCCTATAGAAACAGGTACACATATCCATGCACCATCAAGATATTGATGTTAGAATGGTCAAAATGGAGATTTGGTAAATTCTACTACCAAGGAGGAGAGCCTTCATTTTGATCTAAAAAATTGCACAAAAATGGCACCAGCGGACTAGGATTTAAAAAATACTTTCCTCTGACTTGCACTGTTAATTTTTTAATCTAAAAAAAAGAAAATTTGTATATACCACAAGTTAAGATGCTAGGTCTCAGGCATGAAATTCACTAATGACTGTTGGGCAGTATAGCGACATTTAGTGAATATGAAATTAACAATGGATGCACACAGAGGGTAGACACACTTTATCTACCGGTACATTAAATGATGAAAACCTTTGAACAGAATATTTTGTCAAATTATCACGTTTTCAGAATTCGCATCTGAGATGTGGTATACAATACGGTATAACAAACAATAATATTGATTGAGGATTTTGGGGGGTCGCTGTTGAAGCTGCAGCATTAGTAAATGTTCATACACAGGAATCTAATAGTACTTTTTCTTATTAACCAGTACCGGTATGTATTTGTTTCTAAATAGATACTGGACACATGAAAACCTTTAATCCATTTTCTCTACATTCAATGGTCATTAATAGCTAGTCTCTATAAAACTAATATGTGGAAAGACAATTCATTTCATTTAAGGGTGATAGAATGAAGGAAAGGTGCTACTTAAATGAACAGGAGTTGCAAGGATCTGAAAATTCATTCTTTAAATAATAAAAGATTACAACATCAAAAATATGTCGTACATCTCTGGTTTACTCAATACCAATAAAAGTGTCCATAGACATCAAAGTCACTGATATGTCGACACCATTTTGCATGTACACTAAGTACCAAGTTGATAGATTTTGAAAGTAATGATCCTTCCTTCCTTCAGCATTTCTATACAGATATTTGTGTAGATCTACTAGCCATCTAAGGATACAACTAAGGGTTTATAGGAAACAAGATTTGGAAAAAATCATGCTTCTGAGGAGCTTATCACTTTGATACAATAACTGTTATAAGCTACTGAAATCAGGGCATCTGATTGGCTGAGAGCAAATGTGTCATAGAAATTAAGCATTTGTCATTAATAACAAGTGTTATGAAACAGGGCCCTAGGGAAGTGTAAAGACAGAGGATTATACACCCTGAGGTGTCTTCATATCCAAAAGAGTAATGCATAATCTAAGTAAAAAATAAACCCCTTATTTGGCACTTTTAACACACAAAAAATGCCTTGTTTTGTGTAAAAACAGGTGTAAAATAAAACCCTATTTTTTTGCTTATTGAGTACCGGTATACATTCACAAAAAAGTATGGTTTTTTGGCAAAAATGAGTACACACACATTCACATGTTGTAAACACCATGAAACATGAACAGTAGAAGTGAAAACTTGCACTTTTATAAAACACATTGTTTTTTAAAATTCATTTTCAAATAAGGGAACATCCCTCCCCAAAAATTACCGCTTTTGTACAAAATTGTCAACGGTCAATGATCACGCATATCAAAAATAATATCGCTGGTGATATATGCGTTTGTCTCGCAATGTATGGTCAACAAGGGATCTAAAAGATCGCAACGTTTCGTGCGTCGCTGCAACACTTCGTCAGGTGATAAAATCTAATGTAAGCAAGTGTATTTTATACTCTACGGGCAGATCTAACGGTCAATCAATTTGATCAATATTTGGAACAATAACGGACAAGGCCTATTGGTCATGCAAAGTTGCATACCCAAAGTCAGTATGAAGTGACACCATGAGGATCCTACAAAAATCCATAACTCCTTGATTTGATCGACCGGTCCCTCTATGGTCTTGTATCTCCTTCTCTATCCTCGATGATGGAAACAGGGTTCTCTCTCCTTGATTATGGGGAGAGGGTTGTCCACTGCAGCTCGTCCTTGACAAACTTGGTGTAGTATTCCCTGATGAGATCCGGAGTGATCTCCTTGCCCTCACAGCAGGAGACCCTCTCTCGGGGGATGTCCAGGAGCACCAGCATCGGCAGGCTCTCATCGGCAATGCTCAGGAACTGCTGTAGGCCCTCTACCGTCTCATCCTGTCAATCAATGTCAATCAAAAACAAAAAAGAAGATGAACATTGTGAAATAAGCTCTCATTAGAAGTGGACTATCAATAAGCCTGTTTTCATCAGCTCGAGATTGCCAAATATCCCGCTATTTGAACTATTCCGATCGCAAATTATCCAGTTACTTTGCGTCTTCATCAGCCCGAAGTTGCAATAAGTGGGATAGTTGGTCGAGATAATCATCCAAAGATATCTTGGACTAGTTTGCAAAATATCCCGCTATTTGTCCGGTGCGTCTTCACCAGCCCGAAGACTCGCACTATGCGCGAACGCTGAGCAAACTATGTCGAGCTTGAGTTTGAAGGTCAAGTCTCTAGCTGATGAAGATGCTATTTATAACTTCGGGATTATTTCCCAAATCAGAAATAACGGGCTATTTGACAATCTCAGAGCTGACGAGGACAAGCCTATGGGGAATTTGACACCCTTTGGGTGTTTACCCAATAACAGGTGTTGTCAATTACCAGGATTAGCCTTCAGTGTTATGACCAATAGGCCTTATGTAATGATTTGCCTTTCCCCATGTGGTAAAGTCCTTACCACATCTGAGATTCTCATCACCCAAAGACTCTCCAGACGAGGGGGTGTTTTTTGATCGACCTAGGCCACAGGTTTGCTGTGTGCAGACTTGTACACCCACTAATGGTATTTCCACCAAGTCTGGTGTCAGCGAATTATGAACTTCTGCACATGGAAACTGACGACCCACCCACCCACTTAAAAATCTCATGAATTTTTACCTAGCAAACATTTTAGATTGGAACAAACCAAAATGTTTCAATGTTTCTAGCTGAGTAACCATACAAAGAGGTGTTGTGGACTAAAGTTTGGCCAGGAGGGATTAGACCACCCTGCTGGTAACTGACAGATGGTTATCTCATCAACTCATCTCTCAACTAACATAAGAAAAAGAGAATCATGGGGGACCAATGGGCACTGCTTAAGCATTGTTTTCTATATTCAAGGAAGCAAGTAGCTACAAGTAGTGCAGGGGGCTTTAAGTCATCAGACTGAAGATTACTAGGTAAGGGATTTGATTCCCTGCCAGCACCAACATTCTTTGGCAATACATTTACCACACACGACCCTGGTGCAGTAAGTGGGTACACTGTAGGATTTATTACTTGAATCACTTAGCAACAGATGCTGGAGCTAAAGGCGAGGTAATAGTGATCAAAATCCTGTGGAATTGTATTGGGACACGTTATATCATGTGACAAGCACTATACAAGGACAGTTTATCATTATAATCATTAAAACTTATATGGCAATACTAATCATTTTGATTCAGGTTACCATTTTTTAACTTTGTGTGCCCTTATGAATAAAAGCCAAAGGGGTTAGGTAAATACTTACGTCACCAGCTACAATGAACTTGCAGGCGAGTTCCTGGCCTTTTGCTTCCTCAGCAGCTTTTGTTTCCTCTGCTATGGGTTTCATCATCTCCATAGCCTTCCTTGTACACTCCTCCCCCTCCTCATCTTCTTCAATCTCTGTTCATCATGGCAGAAGAGAACAAAAAAACAATTTTTTATTTTTTTATTCAATCAATCAATCATTCATTTATTCCATCCATTTATTCAAACATATTCAATTCAGTGATGTCACAGAGGCCTCAGTACACTTTTCTCCCCCCGAAATATATCTTGTCAAACTTCCTAGATACTTTATGAGACACACATTTTTTTAATTACACACAGTATGCATGAAATCTATTTTGTATAATTCTCAGTGCAAAGAAATGGAGAGCTGCTTGCCAAGGTACGGTAGTCAGAGTTTTTGTTTGATGGATTACAATTCTAAAAATTCCAAACTTTCTTTTATACGTTATTATTTTCCCCAAATCATCGAAATCTATTTACTTGAATTTTTTTGTTTCACTTTTTTTCAAAATCATAAGGTTGAGCTCTGCCAATATAGGTGACAATATTATGTATGACCTATCTTATTATTTTTATGTTTGTTTGGAAGAATAACCCTAAAGACGATCGATCTTTAAATGTTATCTTATCAAAAATACATAGATGAATCGAGTAGTCAGATATACACATTTCTGTATGCAGTGCATGTGACAATCTGCAAGATTGAGTCAATTTTGATTATTCCAAAACTTCAAAGATACACCAATTCCTACGCATTACATAATCACCATTTCCCCTTTGTTTCCAGACAGTTTCCTTTACAATTTACCGGTAATCACGAGATCAGAAAGCATCTGTACCTTTAGTATGAAGATTATTAAAGGGCAATCCAAACTGTGTAATATGAATAATATGTATGAAAGCAGAAAAATAAGAGAAACAGAATAACAAAAGTTTGAGATATAAATTTCTTTTTTTTGTTGGTATAGAGAAAATAGGAGGGGAGCTCACAATATATATCACAGAGTTGCCAATTTGTGTTTGATCACAACTTCATTAATTAATCAGAATTTGCTAAAAACTTTCACTGTTCTGTTCCTCTCTTCTTTCTGCTTACCGGTATATATAAAACCAACTAAATATTGGGGTAGACTTCCCCTTTAAGGTAGGACTTTCCTTCAAGTACAACATACCTGTAAAGAGGATGAGACAAGATTCCACATTGACCATAGCAGCAGAGACAGCGTCCAACTCACAGCACGCCTTAGGATACCATGGAAACTCCTAACAAACAAAGAAAAGAAAAGATATTCAGAACTACAGCTGATTATTCATATGACAGTTATAAGTTACATTTACAGACAGACATGTACTAAAGCTTTTTGTTGTGCACCCACCAGAGTAAATTGCAAGATTGAATGGAAAGCAGGTGGAAGACATAACTTTAAATTTGCCAACAAAGAAATAAACATAAAATATATTCAGAACTACAGCTTATTATTCATAATGACAGTTTCAATTTACATTTACAGACATACGTGTAGCTTTTTGTCATGCACTCATCTGAGGAAATAGCAAGAATAAATAGAAAGTAGGTGGAAGACAAAATTTAAACTTGCCAACAAAGAAATAAACATAGCATACAAATTTGTTTCTGTATATAGCAAAAGATCCCAGCAAATTATTGCTAAATGTTTTGATTTTTTTAAATGCCGTCTTTGTAAGTGTGAGCTTTTTTTGAGATTTCACATTTTTAAAATGAAACCAAAGACACGTATGACAGGGTGATAATATGATTACAGATTATGGAGCCCTAACAGGGAACATATTAATACTGATAGGGCTACCCTGTGTAAACAAGACCTATTCTCCTTCTCCTCACTTTTTTCCCTTCTTATTCCTCATCAGTATCTTTATCATTATTAAAAATATTCATCATATATATTTTGTGTTGTATTGTATTCTTTGGAATATTTGTTATATTAATGGTATTTCTTTGTTTTCAACCAAATATGGAAATAAACTTGAACTGAATCATTATTATTATTATTACTACTATTCTGTTATTATTGTTATTATTATAATTATTATAATTATTGTAATAGTTATTGTTATCGTTATCATCAGTTCTTCTTCATTACCGGTACATACAATTATATGATGGATTATGGTGTTATGATCATATAATCCCAGATACTGCATAATAAAGTACCTTGCCCTCTGGATCCTTGGTAACAGATCCTCTGGCATCTGCCGTGATGACCTTTCCCTGAGCATCCACGATAGCCAGTTTGGGTATGCCTGAAAAAGAAAGCATTCTGCTATTAATGAACTCCTTTTAATAACACTTCTGATTTTCCTGCTTAAACCCCTGGGACCCATTTCACAAATCTTGTCATCAGTGACAAATTACATTTTTTTAATAAGCTACTGAAATCCTTGCTTCTGATTGGTTATCAGCAGATTTGTCACTGGTTTTTGTCATTTGTCATTGAAAAAAAGGCTTTGTAAAACGGGTCCCAGGTGTGCTGTGTTATGATATAATGTTGCTGATATTTTTTACACCTGTCCGAGGTGCAATTTATACTTTAAATTTAAGAAGATAAAGTCATTCGATTTCAAGAAATTCAAGAAACGTTTAATGAATCGTAAAGGGAAAGTATAGCGATACAATAAATCATGCTATGATGTTCTGATTACAATGGGACTCTGATTGTTTGTAGAGTTTTGGTTCAAAAGGATGCTCAAACATGCGTTTTGCTTTACGTGTCTTTAAATACGGTCAGACCAGGCAAAAAAAGAAAGAACTTGTCTTATTGCTTTATGATGAATTCTCATTGTCTGAACACAGGATATATATTGGAATTGCAGAGGATTGCAGTCAATAGTAATAAAGTGCAGATATTTTGTGGTTAATCAGACAGGATCTCATGCTTGAATTCCCAGAATAGGGTCAATAGTAATGACCCAAGGTCTTCCTTCATCAAATCTATTCAATGTTTACAACCTTAAAAATTTAATGTAAAATGTACAACTAATAAAAATAAAACTGTAAAATTAATTACAATTATTAAGCAAATTGTATTACAATGGGACCCTTATTGTCTATCGAGTTTTCGTTAAAAAGGATGCCCAAACATGCGTTTTGATATCCGTTTATTTAAACACGTTTAGACCAGGCCAAAAATGAATAAATTAATGTATATATAGCTTTATGATGAATTCTCATTGTCTGAACACAGGATATATTGGTATTGCAGTGGATAGCAGTCAATAGTAATAAAGTACAGTGATTGAGTACATGTACAAACACAGCACTCGCAGAATGTTGTGGTTACAGGATCTCACCCTTGCCACAATGGCCCAAGGTCTTTAATTCCAAACAGTGTTTGCCACCTATAAAATGCACTATCATGCCTAGTGAACTAGTGAACACAGTGAACCAGTGAACTAACCAACTACGACTTCCTAGGAGCCGGATTACAGACACACGCCACAACATATGTAGTATGTTACAAATGAATGAACAATCACATACGTTTAGTATACAAATGAATGAACTACGGTATCATACTATGAATATATACACTGTAGTCATCAAATGGACTATCACATATAAATGCAGTATACAATTAAATGAAATATAATACTTGTGCTATTGTAGTACATAATCTATTCCTATTCATAGGAATGAAAGAAGTATGCATGCAGTATACATGTAGGTATACAAATGAATTAACCATCATGAAATAACTATCAAGTATCATATACCGCTACTCATATGCATGAATGAAGTATCATATGAAAGAAGTATCATACATGTACATGAAAGCTGCAAATAGTAAGAAAACAGGCATTCAATTATGATCATGAAGTTTTTCACCTGAAACTATAATAAATGCTTGTAAACAAGTTGATGAACTACATTGTATTTAGTAACATTCATATTTTTAACTAGAAAAAGAGGAATTATCAGTATGAAGGCTGGAACTAGTCTGAGAGTGAAAATGCTACATTGTTTATTGTAAACATGGGCATATTTTTAATAAGTTTATGCTGTAAACAGTGTTCAGATAATTCATCTTTGCGAGTGCATAATACTGGACGCAGGTGAATGAGACTTTGTCTAGCCACAGTCGTATGGTGTCACTTGACCAATTAGATTGTCTACATTCTAGAATCCATTTTCATAAAAGAAAATATTTTCGACCAAGAAGACCTAGAACGCCTTAAAGTGACTCGGCAACATTGTTGAAGGTTGAAGTAAAAATTGCGTAATGTTTGGATGAAATGTTACTTATTATGTTCCTTCTACTGTACTAGCCCTGTAACATGCAAAAAATCCTGAAAAAATTTTCCCAAACCACAAAGATATTTATGGTTTCCTTTGAAGGTGTCACGTACTGTGCGACACCCAAACAGTAAATTCTCCCAACCAATTTTGAATTTCCCATCCATTTTTCCCTGAAATAAGACATTAGATAGGCTTTTAAAAATCTTTCAACACTTAAATGTCTGGAATGGTATATAAAGCCAATTCATTGCTTTGTGAAGATTTAAATTCACCTAAAATGTAATTAAATTCAAATAATATAGTTAGGAAAATTAAGGAATCGATCAGATCAATTTCCCCATTTTTGTCATTAATAATGGTCTGTTTTCACTCAAACTTTCAGATTGTCTTTAATTTTACATCTACATGTAGCATTAAAGTTACTACACCTAATGTAATTAGCACCATTTTCTCTGATCTGAACAATGTTACCAAGTCCCTTTAAGAACTCTGCTACCATCAATCAATACATAGCCACATAATGAGCTTGGGCACATATGGTTCTCATGCAACATAGCTATTCTCCCCGAGATGGATTTTGATACACTGCAGTTACGTGGGCAGTGTGACAACCATGTACAGTAACATTTCCAAATTAAACAATTCAGTAGTATATGGTGGATGTACAGTATTTTCAGAAGGGCTTGGACAGACTATATTTAAAGGAAACCTCACCCCAATGAATTTTTTTTGAGAGAAATATATAATATTCTTTGCCCATCAATCTACAAGATTCCCCACCAAAGTGTATGGGATATTGAGAGAGGCATATAATGTACAGTTTCTTAATACGACATGGGCAATTGGGCATCCCCATTTTCTTGATTACGTGATGTACTGAAGTCGTTTACCAAGTAAATGTATTCAAATTTATGGATGCTTCCTTCCGAGGTGTGTGTGGTGATGAAGCATTTCATTCACCTGCCACTATCCTTTGTACTCCAATTGCCAGAACGCACATTGTATAAGGTAAATAAGTTAGTGCTCTTCAGGGGTGAAGGTTTCTCATAAATGAAATACATTTGTCAATCGCTACATTTTATTTTTTTATAAATTAATTAGTTACCATTGTTTCCCTTTTATATATGTTTCACCAAATATAATTTCTATCTTCTCAGCTATGATTTTTCCTCATTGAAAAGGAAAGATTTTGTTATTGATTTAAAAAAAAAAAAAAAAATTCATGGACCTACATTTTGCATATTTTTCTCCATGAAATGAATATACAACACACCAAGCTACGAGAATGGAAAATGTCGGAAAACAGATCCTTGTCATTGTAGACTGAACCATGATAATAATTTTTTAGTTTCACTGAGGATTACAGTAGCCATGCTTGGCTCCCCAGTGGATTTCTCGCATTCCAATTGAATCGTGCAGGTACAGTGTATTGCAGCACCAAGAGTAAATTTTAAGGCTCGTTCAGATATGTAATGGCATGGTATACCCTCGTAAAAAAGCAGCTGCGTTAAAAAAATACATGTGTAAATTAATGACAACTGCGTGCAACAAATGACTTAAAAGTTTCCCTGAGATCTGTGTTTAAGATGAATGACAACTGCACAAGTGCGAGTACAAGTGTACAAGTGCGATTTTCCTGAGCTCTGTGTTTTGATACAAAAATGTATCATAAAAAAAATGGCATAGTTTTGCTGCACCACACTTGAACAAGCATTTACCCAACATTCCTCATACTTTTAGATTGCTGAAGAAAGGCCTGCCATCGAAACAGAATTGTCCACTTTTTAAAAATGTTACTTGTGCTTTAAAGTGTACCAATTACCTTAAAAAATATCATGTGTACAGCTAGAATGTATTAAATCAATATCTATTTTTTTTTAAATCTGACATTCTATAACTTAACGATTAAGAAATATGAAGAAAATACAGATTAGATCAAACCACATGAAAATGAAAAGAAAAGAAAAAGAAGAAGAAAAAAAAAATCATTTGCAGAACTCCACAATATTTCGTATCGTTTGGGGCATTAAATCGTCCATATTTTCACGAAGTGACGGTAGTGAGGAAAATCGTGTACAATTTGTGTGACGATTTTCCTCACTACCGTCACTTCGTGAAAATAGGGATGAAATGACCAAATACATGTGCATCTAGGACTCGGCCCTAAGCATACCTGTAACATGAGTCACATACATATGAATCTAGACAAACTTTTGGTAATCAATGCAGCTCTCTTTCTTTCTCTCTCTTTCTCTGTATCTATTAAACATACCTTGGACAGAAAAGAGCTTAGCCAGCTCGCCAATACGCTTATCTCCAAAAGGGAAACCTAGCCAGGGCATTTCCCCAAAGTAGTTTTTAAAGGCATCCTCTGCTCTGTCTCGGCTGGCGAAGATGATCTCAAAGGACTGTCCTGACTCCTTGATCTTATCGTAGGTGGACTTCAACTCTTTGGTGAACACTCTGCATGGAGGACACTGTGAGGGGGAGTACATGTAGGAGGAGGGGAGGGGGTTGGGAGGAGAGGAGGGGGTTGGGGGAAGAGGAGGGGGTTGGGGGAAGGTGAGGGGGTTGGGGGAAGGTGAGGGGGTTGGGGGAAGGGAAGGGGTTTGGGGGAAGGGGAGGGGTTTGGGGGAAGGGGAGGGGTTTGGGGGAAGGGGAGGGGTTTGGGGGAAGGGGAGGGGTTTGGGGGAAGCGGAGGGGTTTGGGGGGAGGTGAGGGGTTTGTGGGGAGGTGAGGGAATTGGGGGAAGGGGAGGGGATTGGGGGCAGGGGAGGGGAGGGGGTTGGGGGAACGGGAGGGAGATTGGGGAAAGGGGAGGGGATGGGGGAGGGGAGGGGATTGGGGGAAGGGGAGGGGATTGGGGGAAGGGGAGGGGATTGGTTGAGGGGAGGGGGTTGGGGATACGGGAGGGAGATTGGGGGAATGGGAGGGGATTGGGGAGGGGGATTGGGGGAAGGGGAGGGGGATTGGGGAAAGGGGAGGGGGTTGCGAGAAGGGGAGGGGGGTTGGGGGAAGGTGAGGGGGATCGGGGAAAGGGGAGGGGGTTGGGAGAAGGGGGAGGGGGTTGGGGGAAGGTGAGGGGGATTGGGGGAGGGGGGTTGGGGGAAGGTGAGGGGGATTGGGGGAAGGTGAGTGGTTGGGGGAAGGGGGAAAAATTACAATGTAAGAAATATCACAATCAAGATCATTGCATCTGAGAATCAAATTTAATTAAAGACTCACTTTGAAGTACTTTTCTTATCAAGGAGTGTGGTGGAATTGGAAACAAAAGGAAAACTGTTTTGATATAAGAAAATGTATTCTTTAAAGAAGAAAATTACAAGGGCTGTTTGGAGGCGAGCTACAGTATTATACTTCTTCAGGAAATGAAAGGGCAGGAGCACCTGTGCTGGTAAGTATTTACACTTTTACTAAAGTGTATTGAAAACAACCTTCTTTGGCAAAAGTATGATACTGTAGTACTGTACACGTAAGTAGTTAGGCCTATATGACAAAGATTATTTAGTACTGTTTTTGGATTAAATCTGTATGTTTATGATATGCACAATTATTTAAAATAGTAATCTGACAACGATCCCAGTTCAGTACTCAAATGACAAATGTTGCTTGAGTTGTCTATAATTTTGCCTCCTGTCTGTACATGCTCAATTACAAATACCTGATGAGTCAGTCTGTCTGTCCCGTTGTGACTGAAGGTCAGCAAAATATTCTAGAGTTCCATGAATTTATAATCACTATTTTCATGTACAAATTGGCAATTTCTTGCTGATTTTCATTCACACCGTTCATTGCCAATTGTCAGGTAGAAAAGCTGATACATTTAGAAATTAAACAAGGGAAACGCTCTCGGCGGTCTCGCCTGCATTACGCAATTTGATATGATGAAAAATTGAGGTTCGGACATTATTTATAGGCAGGGTGGCCCATTAGCAGGCCCCCAAAATTGAAATCCTCTACATATAATCACATTTTCAAGTCAATACTGACTTAGAATCATCAGAAAAGTTATTTACCACGATCGATAACTTGAATGAAATATGAACAAATTAATTATAAAATACTAATTCTCATATTAAAGGTAAAGACCAGTTATGGTCATGCGATTGCATTGTGAAAGAAACGTTGTGGAATCGATCAGAAAAGGTTGATCATCTAGCATCTAGCATCTGCAAGGTTCTGGAATCATCAAAATGATAAGGAATTTGGCCCATTCTTCGTAAAGTTACAAGCACTATACACAGAGAGATGTATATGGGACTACCCTATATCTCTCACAGACCATGAGAGAAACAAATTTACCAAATATATGAATTAGTAGGCGGTTTCCCGGAAAAAAATTTATCATCATGTATTAGTCAAAACATATTCTTTCACATGATTGGTAATGAGAGCTTCCATTTCATTTTTTGAAATTGGGGCGTTTCCAATACTGGTCTTTACCTTTAAGTTGTGAAAACAGAATCAAAGTCTACTGACCTTTGACCTTGTGACCTGGAATTTGTGTTGTATGATTTGTGATACTTGATAACCCTCGGGTACAAGTTTCATGGAATTTGAACAATCAATTTTAAAAATATGCTCAAAATTAAAAATCTTGATGTTGATGCTACAAGAAAGTCTAAGTTTGTTGACCTAAAATGACCTTTGACCTTAACTTAGTGACCTGAAATACTATTACATGATTGGGGATACTTGATAACCCTATAGTCCACGTTTCATTGACTAAGAACTTAAACTTTCAAAATTATATCAAAAATTCAAAAACTTAACCAAAGGTTAAGTTTTCGATGATGATGTCACAACATAGTCCAAGTCTGGTGACCTGAAATGACCTTTGACCTTGACTTTGTGATCTAAAATTCTACTCACATGATTGGGGATACTTGATTACCCTATAGTCAAAGTTTCATTGACTAAGAACTTATACTTTAAAAATTATATCAAAAATTCAAAAACTTAACCTTAGGTTAAGTTTTTGATGTTGACGCCGTCGCCGTCGCCGTCGCCGTCGCCGTCGCCGTCACCGGAAAAGCAGCGCCTATGTCTCGCTTTTTGCTACGCAGGCGAGACAATACTATATTATTCTATATCATGCTACTGTATATATTGAAATAACTTTCAGGTATCAAAATATATCTCTATACTGATATGATAAAACAGAATGAACATGGGTATAGTTAAATAGGCCATTTTCGTAATGTAACTAAATTTAATGCATAAGTCTTTGTGAAGTGCCTCAATACAAGTTATTGCATTCACCTGATAAGAATAATAGTATTTCAATAGTCAGAATGAAAACTGCATTTATTAAGTGTTGCTAGGTAGGTCAAGCCATAATGTTTGTCCAACCTGGCAACAACTAATGTATGCAGTTCTGATTATGTCTATTGCAATACTATTATTCTTTTCAGGTGAATGAAATAATATGTATTGAGGTACTTCACAAAGACATATGCATTAAATTTGGATATATTACGAAAACGGCCTATTGCAAAGAATTTAAATGTATTCATATTGTATATTCAATGTTGTTGTTGCTGAGAAATAATAAAATATTTTGAGTCAGAATTGTACCTTACCCAGTGAGCAGAGAAGTAAATTCCTAGAACTTTGTCTTTCAAACTCTCCGAAGTGACAGTCTTCATCTCCTGGTTTATGAAGCTTCCAGTAATAATCTCTGCATTTTAAAGCATGGAAATTAGGGAGGAGAGAATATCGTTTAGATTTCAGAAAAGTAAACTGTAAATCTATCTCTCACGGACCCAAACAATTCTTAACAACTGAGAATTCACCAACAAAGGTTTATTCAAATAAAAATACTTTCCATTTTAAAGAGATACTTGAGTTACTGGTAAAAATGGTTTGTGGGCTTTCCTATTCTTTAAAAATTAAATTTAAGTTTGAAAGAAGATCAAAGTGGAAAATTCCATATAAAAGGGCTGCTCTTCAAATGCCCTGATACATGACAAGGAATACATGTAGCTGAACAGTTTGGATCAAACATTTGTGCAGCATGTCACATTTCTGCGTGCGTTGGTTGCGATTTTTAGCAAGATTGGGTCAACTTTTGTTCACATATAAAACACTCATAACTTTCTTATTATTTCAAACTGTTGCCATTCTGTTTCTCTTACTTTTCTGATTTCATACAAATGAACTGGACAAACTCACCTGGGAATGGCCTGGACTTCCATGGGAATTTCTTTCCCTCACCGTCACACTTGACCTCATCCACACCGTCCACACAGGTCACCTCTCCCGTAACACTGTCCAAGATGATTAACGTCGGGATAGCGCTCACCTTGAAGCGCCTGGACACTTCATTCTGACCAATGTAAACAAGGTGTAAACAAGGTGTAAACAAGGTGTAAACAATTTGGAAACAATATCACTTCGGGATGGTCCTGTGCATTTGTTATTTCATGTCAAGTCATAAAAGTTATGGTCTATTTTTTTAAAGGGAGTGGGGAATTGTAGCCAGGCACATCACTTGGTTTTAGGGGACAGATATTGCAGCTATAAACCTCAAACTTAAGGCCCTTTCACATTGTCAAAAAATCTATTTGAAACCATTGGATATCTGAAGTATAATTTATACTGTTGGAGTTTGAGTTTGAGTTTGATTATTCTTTTTTTGGGGCGAGTTGTGTGCATGCGCTACTTGTAGCAGGGAAAACATTACACAGGGGCTCAGGGCAAATTTGGCCCCAAAATGCCAAAAAGAGCCCCCGAAAGTCATAAAAAAGCTCCCCCAAATTATCATAGAGCTCAATGAAAAACAAATTAAAGAGTGTTTTTTTTCATGTAAGCAAGCTTGAATAGTAGCCTCCGAAATGTTTTTAATATTTTTTTCCTGACCAGATTAGATCATCTTCATATGGTGATACATACTTTCACCAAGTTTGAGCCTCATATCTCTAGTGATTATTGAGATATTGCGATAACAAGGCTAATATCTAGAATTTCAGAAATTGACCTCCTTGACCTTTGAACTAATAACCCATAATCTTATCAGATCATCATCCTATGGTAATACACTGTACATATTATCACCAAGTTTGAGCCTCATATTATATGTCTCGTGGTTCTAGAGATTTTGTGATAACATTTAAACAAGGCTAATAGCTGGAATTTCAGAAGTTGACCTCTAGGCGTGTCTGCACTATCTCGAGATTGCCAAATATCCAGCTATTTGAATTATCCCGATCGCAAACTATCCAGCTTATTTGCGTCTTCATTAGACCGAAGTAGCAAATTAGCTGGATAGTTGGTCGGGATAATATCCCAAGATATCTCGGTCTAGTTTGCGGTTTTCCGTGTTTACTCGAGGTCAGTGGTTGTACTAGCGCGCTGAGCGGTATAGATCGCATGTGCGAACCGGAAATCGTTGTGCATGATGGGATCGGGATATTTGACTCCGTACTTCGGTCTAATGAAGACGGTCGCAAACTATCCCGCTAGTTCGGAAATAGTGGGATATTTTGCAAACTAGACCGAGATATCTTGGGATATTATCCCGACCAACTATCCAGCTAATTTGCCACTTCGGTCTAATTCAAGACGCAAATAGCTGGATAGTTTCGATCGGGATAGTTCAAAATAGCTGGATATTTGGCAATCTCGAGATAGTGCAGACACGCCTTCTGTGACCTTTGACTTACTAACCCAAAATATACTCAGATCTTCTTCCTATGATGATACATATTATCACCAAGTTTGACCCTCATACCTCTTGTAGTTCTAGAGATATTGCGATTTATAACGAGAAACCGGAAGAATGGACGGAGGTACAGACAACTCGATATTTATAATACACAATGCCTCCGGCACAAAACAGAATACTTCACTGGTGTTTTGAGAGTGAGCATTTACTTTGTACTTGAGATGAACATGTAATCCTGTTATACTGCCATTACCATCACTCAAGCTCACAAAATACATTTACTCTAATCCAGAAAAGGGATAGCGGAGAGAGAGAGAAAGGGATAGAGAAAGAAAGAGAAAGGGATAGAAAAAGAAAGAGAAAGAGAGAAAGAGAGAAAGAGAGAGAGAGAGAGAGAGAGCGAGAGGAGGGGGGGGGGGATGGTGGATGAACTAGCCTTCATGGGGCATGTTTTGGTATGTTCAAGCGATTTTTTGAAGCTAGAATCACAAACATGAATCACAAATCAAAACGCCCTTAAAAAACATGGTTACTGCAAGAGAGCGTTCAAGCGATTTTTCATCAACGCTGATTCTCGCTCATTTCAAGCCCAGCCACTGTTCATCACACTGTGCAGTTTGACCGCAACCCTGTTTTAAATTAAACGTCTTTGAAAACCGTGTTTCTAGGGTTAAAAAGGTGTTGCTTGAACGCACCTTAAGTAAAACCGAGAGTGTGTCCATCGGTCTATCCTCATCTCCAAGACGAAGACACATTCTTAGACTGAGTGACAGCTGAAACACATGTCTGCTACAATAAAACCTTCCCTGTTATTCGAGATGGGATGTAGTGAGTGAAATAGACCTACATACTTGGCATTCTAGTTACATCCATTTACTGCCTACTGTACTTTCTCTATGATGTTAAAGGAATTAACTAGGTTGAACACAAAGAAAACATATATACATACATGTATATGCCCATCCAAGTAATTTCTAGTTAGGAACAGGCCATTGTCGTAAATATTGAATGGCCTTTAGTGGGATACATCTCATGAACTATCAGAGCTAATGAGAATTGAGATGAGCACAACCAGTGAAATTGATTGATTGATTGATTTTATTCGACAAGCTTCCAACATACATGTACAACAATATACAATATAACAGATCTAAAATAAGTCAGCTTGAACAGGATAACCCACGAAAGCTCGAGAGCTTATTTCCAGTGGGGTCCCTTACAGACATGTATAAAATTAATAAGTTAAAATAGTAATATTTACAGACAGATAAGAAAATTAAAAGAACTACTTATTAAAGATAATAATAATAACAACATTAAACTGATGATAGAAATGATATTAAGTACATGTACAAGAAGAAAAAGAGGAGAAGGAAGAAGAGCAAAATAATGATGAATTTGAAGAATTTCTATAACGTACAAAAACATAAGTATATACAACATGAAAAAGTATAAACCGACAGAAGAATAAAAATTTCAATCATATAACATGTCATTCACTTCTCTTCTCTGACTGTCAAGTATTAGATATTCCTTTAATTTCCTCTTAAAATGATCATAGTTTCCTATTATCAGTGAGTGCAGTATACACATTTGTGACGCACGAAAGAAAAGCCATTCTATATTACAGTAAGTTCATTAATTGTATGAAACCTTGCATCTCAATGTTCACCATTACAAAATGCTTTTTGTAGCTTTCTCCATTTTCACCTGGGTACGGACTAGAGAGTGGCAAATGGGGATTAATAACTTGCCAAAAAAACGTTAATGACAGGCTGAGATTCAAACCCAAAATCCTTGGAAGTTGGATTGATGAACCCCTACCGGTATTTCACAATGACTCCACATACATGTACATGTACACCTGTCCATGTAGACAGCAAGATTTACACAAAAAAAAACATAAAGATCTGTTTCTCTGATGTTTCTGTTTTTATAAAAAGCAACTTATTAGGAAGGATGTCAGAATTCTGTTTTAATGCATTAAAAATTTGAATAATATGCATGATGTTGTAAGCCCTCTGATTCTAGGACTAACTAAACAAGTCCAGTGGTGAGTAATATCACAGAAAGGTGTTGAAAGTCTGTTCTACTTCTAGTCATACTGATGTACAGTGTAGCAGAATGCATCTAGATAAGACTCCAGCCTGATGTTTACATACAAGTATTGATGGCATGATAGTTAGCGGATGAAGGGCAATAAACAGTCGCCCCTAATGTGTTCGAGTAAGCTGTCTCACAGCCTGTTCGGACGATAGGCAATTTATATGAAACGCGTATCAACTATCAAGAAAGTTGTTAGAATCAGCCTTCAGTCTGTTGAATTCTACAGACTAGAATCCAACATCGTATTTATAAAGAAACGTCATATTAAGAAACTAATTTTGACAAGGTCAGTTCTATATCGTGTTTCTTAAAATTTATTTATGTATTGAAATATATTTAATCAGGATTTCTAACAAGAATCAGATAAACATTTTAAAATTATACAAACCTGTTTTACATCCTGGTCCTGAATAATATTCATGATGTTGTAAACCCTCTAATTATCTAGGACTAACTAAACAAGTGAAGTAGTGAGTAATATCACAGAAAGGTGTTGAAAGTCCTGTTAGAACCGATGCTCAGACAGGCGATTTGCTTTACAACGTTTACATATTGTATGACGCTACAGTATACATGTATATATATGGGTGCGTCTAAACTTAAATTTTGAAGGCAGAATGAGCGATTTGTAACGCTCATCGTAAACGCTCATCGTAATCGCAGTTCCACGGTGTACTGTTTATGCTCACTTCTCTGGCTCCTCCAGGCAATTCTCCCTGGGTGGCCTTAATTGGCCTTGCAGCTAGATTTGCAACCTTGAAATGTGCATGCTATGTAGACCATGGTCCATGCATAGACCCACTAGAGGTCAGTGCGTTGACCCCATTTAAATACGTTTACAAATTGTAAACGCATCTTTTTGTGAATTTGTAGAATCACTGAAAAACGGCGATCATGATCGCCGTTTTTCGGTGATTCTACAAAAGTGAGAAAGGACACAACCGTGTTTTAAACTAAACACGTAACAGATGCCTGATTCTGGCCAGAAAAAGTTAAGCATAAACACACTCTATGAGACTTACATGTATTTAGCTATATGAATGCAGATTGTCTGAACGCAGTATTTTAGCTTAGCCTCTGGATTTATTCCATCATTGATGAATTGAAAGAAAGAGAGAGAGAGAGAGAGAGAGAGAGACCAGGGGTGATAGTGGGCACTAAAAAAAAGTTCAGGATTCTGGGGGAAAAAATGGCATCCAACAACATTCCCCCCTTTTTAGTAAGAAAATTGGGAAAAATATGGGAAAATTGGGAAGAATAGAAAAAATACCGGTAAGAGAAAAATCAGGAGGATTTTTTTTTTTTTTTCAATTGTGTAAAAAAATATTTAAACAAACATTTGGGGAATTTTTTTTTTTTTTTTTTTTTTTTTAATAATCGGGAAATTGTCAGGCCTGCAGAGAGAGAGAGAGAAGTTTGAGTGATAAAGATTGAGCAGAGACATCCCATACAGTGCGTCCCAGAAAAAACGAAACCAAGAATTATCAATGTTTTATTTTAATTATAATTAATAAATTAATGACACATATTTGTAAAGCTTAGAATCCTTAGATCCTCCTCTTTCATCTGATGCAGCTTATGTTGCATACTGCACGCATGAGTGATTAAAAACAATTTCAAAGAGAAAATCACATTTCTATAATTTATAAAAGTTCATTTTCTGCCCTTTCATATGACACCTCAATCAGGAAAAATGAGCCAGGAATAACAAAGTTCTGTTTGTTTAAAGTAATGCTTGCATTTTCATAATTTGATGAAACAAATTGGTTTTCACTGGCTGCCTGCCGTAGCAACAAACAGAGTTGACAAAAGACTTTACTCCATTTCGTTGACGATCAGCCATGCACAGAGAAGACGAAAGACTTGATGCATGGCTGATCGTCAACGAAACGGAGTTAAGTCTTTAGTCAACTCTGTTTGTTGCTATGGCAGGCAGCCAGTGAAAACCAAATCGGCCCTAATCTGGATCCGCCACAATCTCTAAAGCTCAACAAATGAAAAAAGAGAGAAGTTTTCACTTATTCAGTAATCCCTTTAATTTTCCTGATTTTTCTTTACTTTCCTTTAATTTTCGACACATTTAAAGTTCTGTATTTTTATTTGAATCAGGAAATTGAAGACTCTGTCCCCGGAGGTCCGATCCGGATTGGCATGAACAAACCATTTAATTTTTCATGGTCTAGTCAAGAACTCTGTACATTGTAATAAACTGAAGAGACAAGATAAAGAGCATCTGTTCATCATGATTTATGAGATAATGTCTAGCTACCATAGTCATCACCCAAAAGGCCAAAACCAAGTCAGCTGTTCATGTCACTAGCTTACAGTATCCTTGCCATATTTGGCTTGGAAAAAGAAAAGTTTGTGGGAGTGCTCAACAATGGTTCTTAAATAGTTCAGCTATTGGGTTAGACCAAAAGCTTCAGTCTCTCTATATCGTCGGTTGTTCCACCGAGACTACGTCTGGCTCCACTAGACCTCCGATTATACTAGATTATTGTATTGGGGAATGTCAACAAATGTCAGTTTTATTAAAGAAATGACCCATATCAGACGGTTATTTCTGTCTACGGTACTAATGGGTATACCCTTCTATCCTACTAGAGTTATTTCTTGTACTTTACTATTGGCTTCATAAAACAACGCCCACATGCAGATCTACACACACAAAAAGAAGAAAATAAGAAGCTTGTAAACTGAAATAAAAAGACAACAATGAAATAGAGTCTACATCTTTGCCATGTTTATTTCGGAATTCGCCATTATCATGACCATAATCCTACAAAATCAGTCTTATTATGACTGAGAAAAAACCACATCCAGTTCCAATAATAATTAACTTTGTTCAGGACATTTTAACAAAGTAACAAGTAACAACAATGGTTAACAGTCACACTGCACTGCATTTGCAGTTTCTGAATTACCACAAAAGGCAGAATTCCAGATCTCATCTAGAGATCTAGATCTAATTTTACTTTTTTTTAGGTCTAAATAGTAAATCTATATTACCTTTTTATCTCGCAAGTTGTAAGGTAGAGCAAGCCATGGCATCCTGTTGTAGTATTCATCAAATTGGTCTTCATTTTTATCAGAACTAATGAAGACAATTTCTAACAATTTCTCCCCCTTCTGCACAGTAGAGGTATTGTAGAAATTTGCTAGCGTGGGGGTAAAGGCCTGGCACGGCGGGCACCAATGCGCCGAGAAGTACAGGCCAACATATTTCCCCTCTTCGCATATGGATGCAGTCGCAATTTCTTCATCATCCTTGCTCTTTAGTTTGTCCCCAAGAAGTTCAACAATTGAGAACCTCGCACTTGCAGATCCGGACATTTTGGCAAGCAACAGTCTTCCTATGTGATGAGTAAAGAGTGTAAAACAGGCTATATTTCAAAACACTTAGCCAAAGGTGCTTATTCCAAAGATTTTGAACGGCACTCAAATCTAATTGATCCGAGAAAACATCATCAAGAGCGCGCGCTAGCCGTCTACCGGAAATACCGCTTATACCCAGTGCAGTACCAGTAGCAACGAGACAAGTTACTTTGACTTACTTCCGTAGTACGCTCGATAGGCGTAGATTGCTGTACTGTGTGTGAAGCAAAGGAGAAGCGAGACACGTGGAATATTCAACAAATAGGACTAACCATCATATACATGAATATTTTTCCTTTTTGATACTGTCCAACATAAGTCTTCATCTAAGAATATTTATGCTTGTATTCTTGCACATGACGTCTGTGTACTACAATACGCCTATGTGCTTTATTCAGGAGTAACCAATCTTTGCTTTGAAGCTAGCTGGACGAAGAAGTCTTATAGACCTCTACGTAAAAGTCAAAATTCTGGAAAAATGGCCACACATCTTGTAAGTGGACGCGTGAATCTAGCATTTTGGAGAGAAGTCGCAAGAAGAGAACTATTAGATTGCCTAGACAAATGCATAGGGAGTAAGGTTAGTTTGATGATATATTTTCTTTTTATTTGATAAAAAAGAATCGGCTTAGAATATGACCGTGATCTACCGCCTGAGAGTGAGACAAATTTAATTTCGATCGAAGCAGAAAGTGGGCGTATGCATGTTACGTGCTTAACATTATGATTAACACGAAATGTACTAACTCCAGGGAGCTCCACTGCTCTAGGCCAGGGGCATCGGCGTCGGAGCTCGGAGCTAGAGCTAGAGCCCCTTGGAGTTAGATATGTACTAGATCTACTACTAGAGTCTATAGTCTAGTATTAATTATGATGAAAAAATAACTTGATCAACTAGAAATTAGAATCAACGTAACTTTATTGAATATCCTCCCATGTTGTTGTTAGTTTTTAGTTGTGTTTTGTTTAATTAATTATGAATATTTAATTTACGCCAGTCTTTGAGTTTGTAAATTGTAATTGTATACAGTAGACTATGTCAGACAGTATGCAGTCATTGTCTTGTTTTCACTCTCCAGACTTTCATACATGTTCTTCATACACACTGTGTCTGTAGGCCTAGAGTAGACCTAGTGTCTAGTGAATGTGAAGTTTAATAGTGAAAGCAACATTTTCCCTCCTCTACTCTAGTCTAGTCACGGCCCGGACTAGGGAAATTATCTTCATGTGGCCGTAGTTGCAAGCATATTATTAACTTTACAATTTTCACCCTCTTTCAATTTAGCAGGGGTTCAGTCTTTGTTCTATCTACTTCTAGCAGTTCAAATTGCATATTATTATAAACAAAGAAATTATGAACTGTCATATTTCAATAAATGTTATTTCTTTTTCTTTCAAAGTAAAACAAAACAGGAATGCTTGTTGTTGTAAACTTGTAGCATGGTGATTTGTGGCGTGATCTAGCCTCAAGGGCCAGGTGATAAATGTGAAATATGATATTGATAATATTGGCACCCCTGCAGGAAGTGGAAGCAGTAAACAAAACCAAAATTGCGTCCAAAATCACCTCTTCCTGCACCAGACAAACATCACACACTGGCTTCGAAGTTGGCTAGTGGTAGCCTAGTGAACACTTCTTTCTTTTCATATACAGAGTACTCTGAAATTGGTCAAGAATTTAAGGAAACATATCAGATTTTGATAATTATAGAATGATATGGCGATTGTTTTCTTAATGATGCAGTTAAAGCGTGATTTACATTAAAAAACGCTGACCTCTTATATAGGCTCTTACAACTACATGTACATATATATATAAGAGCTTGCTGTGTTGGTTCTGGCTCAAGACGCAGTATACAAAAAAAAAACTGTTTTTGCTTTGCAAAGATTTGACTTGATAATACACTTTACACGGACTGTAAAAAAATCAACCCATAACCCCTTCCAAATATGCTGTTGTGGAAAAACTTGTATAGATCATTGGAATGCCACTTTTTAGTATCTAGATGATTAAGGTGCCATTGTATATGTTATCCTTTACATAATGTTGTCTGCTACATTTCTACTTAATATTTTGTTGTCATTCTTAGGCAGTGGTCTGGGATGACTTTCTTACAGGACCAATTGGACTCATAGCTGAATATTCCTTGTTGAAGGTAAGTTCAATATAAAGTTACAATAACTTGTACTGAATGTAATAACAAAGTGGGTACATAATTTTAAAAAAAATTGCTGGTGAGCATCCCCCTTTCATCTTTTCCTTGCCCATCCCTCCCTCCCTCCTTCAATCTCTCCATCTCAACTGTTTCATGTTAAGCATTTGGCCCATTACTCCGTTTTCACACTACTCAAAGTTCTCAAACACTTGTTTTTGTATCAAACTAGTTTATTTTTTAGCTTATTTGTACATGATGTGCGTAAGGAGGCGTGATGGAGTAGTGGTCTCGTAACCGGGAGGTCCCGGGTTTGAAACAAAGTCGATGCACAAGTGCCTTTTGGTAAAGCATTAAGTTGATCCCCATTTTAGTCCCAAGTTCTTCAGAGAGGACTTAAAGTCATCGGTCCCCTGGTCACTTTAATACAAACATACGCATGCTTTCTTAGCAGCCAGGTAAAAAGCAACCAACCAATATTGTATACTGATTGTGTAGTCTGTTTGATTTCATTTTCTTTGTAAAAGATTAGCCATTGTCTGCTATGAAATTATGATAAGTCAATCCTTTCTAGTCAATTAAAAACCCTCTCTCTTTCTCTCTGCTAAAAAATGGAATCTTAATAATAAAGTTGCCAGTTTCTGTTGTCTTCAAATCTTGCAGTATCCCAAACTTTCTTTTCATTGTCTAGTTTCATTCTTCTTTTATTCCAATATACTTAATGTTTAATACTTGGAACTTTCCTTAAAGTACATGCATGTCAGCACAGTAATAACAAAAAAGAAGAAAGAAGATGCTCTCTTTAAAAATATTAATGATTACAATTGTGTTATTTTTCAGGAGCATGAAGTCGACCGTATGTTCCCCCTCCGACCGGGCCATCTACCTCTCAAAAGCACGTCCAGTGGTGCTGGCGGAAATATCCAAAATGTCATCTTCATTGTGCGACCTCGCTTGGAGCTGATGACCATTGTGGCAGATAATATCCGCAAGGCTGAGGAAAATCCTGGACGTTTTCGCAAAGAATTCCACATTTACTTTGTGCCAAGGAAGAGTCTTCTGTGTGAGAGAAAACTGACGGTAAGTTTGCAGACATTAAAAATTATGCCAATGATCTCAGACTTTGTAATGGAAAACATGGAAAGTCATGGAAAAAATAGTCTCTTGAAAAGTCAAGGAAAGTCATGGAAAATGAAGGGAAAAAAAGAGTGATGGAAAATCATGGAATTAGGGCGGCAAGGCGAATGACATCACAAACATGAAATAATGAATATCACTGTGTGTATTTGGATGCCGCAACCCATACCAAAGTGGTACTTACATGTAACAGGAAAACAAAACCGTCCAATTGAAAACGGAATCTGCCATGGGCGGTCGGATACCGGACGGTTAAACGTTTGACTACTGCACTACTTGTTAGAGTCCATATGTGCCAAAGGGGGATTAGAGCTTCAGGCCTGTATTTTACCAATACACTTTAATCCTACCCCTCGTCTAAAATCATGTTTAACATATAAAACTTGGACCTCAATTAGATCTCAATTTTTACCTCAGACTACATGTAACTTCCTTTCTGAAACCGATTTTGAACAAGAGCTTAAAGTGGCCTAAAATTGGGGAGTCTACCGTAAGTACAATGTCATGAATATGTATAACGAGCAATTTGAATTATAATCCTGGACATATCATGTTCATATGAAAGCAACCCTAACCCTAACCCCCTATACCTTCAATGAATTATAATCTGGAGCAATTGTCACCAGAGCAAGTGTCAGATCTGGGCCCCCTCTTATACAGAGTTGCGATTGATCTGGACCAGTCGCAAGTCCTCCAATCAATCGCAAGTTTGCAGTCTCCTATCTGTTTTGTACTTAGTTGCTCTTGATGTCAATCACAAATACTTTGCGATCAATACCAACTCTTAGTAAGACGGGGCGCAGATCATTGGAAGCACATGTACAATTGTATGAACCGGTGATAATTCAAATATATTCATGCTCATGTGATCCTTTAAAAAGGAATCCACATCCTAGTAGATTTTTCACTTACTTCTGAGAAACGATGTGATTTATGGTTGCAGGAGCTTGGAGTATATGGAACACTGAACACAGTAGGGGAGTATAATCTGGATCTCTTGCCCTTTGATAGTGATATCTTGTCTATGGAGTCAGACTCTGCCTTCAAGGTTTGTATATTCACTTTTCTGTTCTTCTTCTAATTAAGCCAGAGACATCACACAATTTTTCAAGGTGGTCAATTACTGAATCCATAAATTCAGAGATGATTGAGTATGCTGCCTGTATTTGATCCAGAATGAAAACCTGGACATAAATTATAGAAACAAACAACAACAATAAAAACAGAACATATCAAACAAATAAAAACAGTATAGCAAAAGTAAGTAAAGAAAACAAAAACAAAAAACAAAACACAAAACACCAGGCAAAACAAAACAATGAAAAACAGAACAAGAAAGAAACTTACCAGAAATCTTTACCTAAAATTATTTAAAGTTAGTTGTTTTTAGGTGAAGATTTTTGTCTTCTTCAATCATAATCTACTTTAAAGATTCTTGTATTTTTTGTCTTGTTTATAGGACTGTTACCTTCAGGGAGATCCCACCTGCATGTTCCATGTGGCTAAATCATTGATGAAGCTACAGGCTTTATATGGCATCATCCCAAATATATATGGCAAAGGAGAGTGTTCAAGGGTGAGTACCTAAGACACATCAAGATTCCCAGCATTTGATTGGTCAGAACTGTCGGCATGAAAACTTTGTCTCAGGGACACAGCACAGTTTCGAGATCACCTTTGGGCAATAGTTTTTAGCCGTGCTGGTCGAATTTGCATTTTCAAACTCTATATCATAAGGCCATGACATGGTAGTTGATAGAGCAAACTTTGGGAGTCTGATATTCTATACCATTGTGATGCTATCTTGGTATAATTTAAAGCCCCACTGCA